CCAAGCACTGGGTGATACTTCATGTTAAATGACAGAGTGTAATCTAAGCCCTGGCCTCTGAGAAAGACAAATCTGAAATATACCACCTCCCTTGATCACCATGGTTCAAGGGTCAGCAACCTGCGGCTCTGGAGCCACATGTGGCTCTTTCACCCCTCTGCTGTGGCTCCCTGTCACTCAAAATATGCATCACAACCACCAATGTACGACACCTGCCCGCATGTGATTTATTGAGCTTTTCAACCCCCGGTAGTCCAACCATGGATAAATCCAAGAAAAGTTTCAGAAGAAAACAGAACATTTAATTCAACTACATATGCTAGTTTTGTGGCCGCTCAAGAAATAGTCAGGCAGGACTTCCTGTTTGCTGCTGGCCGCCGCCAGACGTTCCTTTGGGATCGTCAGCTTCCACTGCCTGTCAGAGCCGCCTTCACAACGGAACGGCGGCTCGAAAAAACTCCGTTCCCATGAGGAAACGGAGATAGAGCCGGCAGGGGTGGGTAGAACTCTCTGCAGAGTCCCAAAAGTTTTTCTTTTACTTTTGGGATGGAGCGGATGAGATGCCCCATATCCCCAGCCGCTGCTCCGGGCTTTGGGAGACCTCTGCTAATGCAGAGCCAGGCGTCAAAAGCAAGCCTGCGAATTTGACAGATTACTCAAAGAAAATGTGAGCTGGACCTGTAATACTGAAGCGCAAGTATTTTACTTATTTTTTAAAAATTACTTAAGAGAATAGAGGAAGAGAAAGAGGAAAAAAGTTTCTTTTTAAAATGGCGTCTGCCGCGGCTGGAGAAGAGTTTGAGAGGGAAAGTTCTTCCGTTTTTTATTATTACAATGTAGCGGAATAAATACCACTGGCTACATTTGTAGACAAAACTCCGCTCCTGTTTTTGTTTTTCTCTTTTTCCCCTGGAGGCCTGATTCTTGCTGGCTGGAAGTCTTTTGTCTTGTTTTTTTTTTTTTCTTCTAACAAAGCCTGCTTAGGTGGAAACATGGCACTGAGGCTTGTGAAGTCAGACAAACAAATAGGTGGGGGGGATTCCCCCACTAAGAATTTAAAGGAACAAGTTTTAACTCTTCAGCCCCAGAAACCTGATTTTAATATAATAGAATTTCTCTTAGAGGAGATTGAAAGAAGGGATGAGATTGTGAATCAGCAACTTGAAAAATTTAAGCAGGAAACTAAGGAATTGGTGAAATCCAAGTTTGACTTTTTGCAGCAAAAAATTTTAAAAGTGTCAGAATTCATGATTCGGTTGGATACAAATACTAATTTACTAGAGTCAAAAATGGATGAAATTCAAGATAAATTGGACAATAGAATTCAAAAAATTGAAAATGATTTGTTAAATATTCAGGATTATAGTTCAGAAGAAAAATTTAAAATGGATGCTGACCAAAAGTCTGGTAATGTAGAAAATCTGCAACAGAGGATTGAAAAAGAGGTTCTAAAGATACAATATAATTTCACAGAATATGCAATAAGACTTAGAGGTTTGCAGGAAAATAACAGAGATGACTTAAGGAAAATATCTTCTGAATTTCTAGCTGGGATTTTAAAGATTCAACCTGAGGAAGTGTTTTGTAGGATTGACAGAGCTTATCGAATAAACTCCTGGACTGCCAAGCAAAGGCAATTGCCTAGAGATGTGGTAATCTATTTTTCAGATAAAGAAATTAGGAATAAAATTGTGCAAAATTCCTTCAATTCTAATTTGCAATTGTATGGAAGAAAGATTTGGATTTACAAGGAACTCCCACCTAAGATATTAATGGAAAGGAAGAAATTTGGCTTTCTGGTGTCTGAGTTAAAAAGGAGAAATATTCAATTCCGGTGGGACGTCCCAGTTGGTATTATATTGAGATATCAAGGAGAAAGATACCAGTTAAATACTGTTGAAAGAGCGGAAGAATTTTATCAAAATAGGTTGAAAATGAATTTAACGTCTCCAGATATAATACAGGATAAGCAGAAGGAGCTGGAACTAAAGACAGAGACTGTACCAGATAAATTGCCTTTGGATTTATCGGATACCCCAGCTGGATTATCTACAAATTTGAGAGAAGTGCCATCTGATTTTAATGTGATGACTTATCAAGGCAAGGACAAGCATGGAAACCAATTAGAGGATATACAAGGGATAAAAAAGAAATGTGAGACACAAAAAATTAGGATGGAAGTCAAACCCACAAAAAGAAAACAAAAAAAGAAATAGGTTGTACAAAAATAGAAATTTCTAACCCAAGCAACAGTGAAGCCAGTGATTTTAAAATATGAATGATTATGTGAAAACATAGAGGAGGCGACATATTGGTCAATATCATCCTGAGGATAGTGGCAGATCTCTGCATTGCCGTAATTTTGGGATATGGAAAGAGCCTCAAATTGATGGTTTTGAATTATCTACTTTGAAACTTCTTTTTGTGTTGATAAATATATTATAATTATCTTGAATTATAAGGCAAGAGAATCACATTGGGACATGCAGAAGATCGGGTTGTTACCCAATACGATGATGGAAATTAATAATCCTGATGAAACCCACAATTATTATTATATGGAATATAATTATAATGTCACTCGGGTGGTTGTTTTTACTTTTATATATATAAGAAGATGTTTACTACTGATGGGGGCAGATATGATTGGAGATCTTGAATAAACTGTTGCATCAGCAAGCTATGTTACCCTATTATGGATGTTGGTTATAACAATCCAGTGGAAAGACTTCAAGAAGATATTATATGGACTATAAATTTAAAGTTATTGTCTTTTCTTTTTTTATTTAGATACAATGGAATATATATATATATATATATTTTAAGTAGTGTGGGCAGTGAATTAAAGATATCAAGAATTGTTGTGTATGGTAAATTTGTAAGACAGTGGGTGAATAAGCTAGCTACAGACTGATTAGTTTAAGAAAAGGGATTTTTAAGTGATACATTTAGGGGAGTGGAGGAAATGGATAGAGTGGAATAAATGTTAAATTAGATTTTATGGGGAGCCCGCTTTGAAATGTTATTAAAGTAGGACTTATCGTATAGTTTTAAAGTGGAAGGTGGTTTTGAATTGTTGCAATAATGTATAGATATAAAACACTTTTATGCTAAATTAGAAGTTATTTTATAATAGTTATAGTATAATGTGTTTGTTTTTTTTTTGTTTTTTTTCTTCTTCTTTTCTGAAATGTATGGATAAAGGGGGATTTATAATACTTTTAGTAAGTAAAGGTCAGTATTTTGAGGAGGGAGTAAGTAATCTGTTATGAATTAGGGTTTTTTTTTTGTTACGAAGAAGTCACAGGGGGGGAAGGGTGGGAGGGGGGTTAGGGAGGGGGGGGGGGGGGGAAAAAGGGGGAAAAATTTGTATTTGAAAACCTTTTCAATAAAAAAAAAAAAGAAATAGTCAGGCACGAGGAGGGTTTTGTGGCTCCCAGTGTTTTCTTTTCTGTTGGAAATGGGTCCAAATGGCTCTTTGAATGTTTATGGTTGCAGACCCGTGCCATAGTTAATGAGCCTGGATCTATGACCTGGTTGTTACTGTCAACCCGCATACACAATCGAGAGTTACATGGATCAAAGACTCAAGTTGGAAGAAGATAACTTTTTGTGATTCAAAAACAGTGCTGGGTCTCCTGTAGTGTTCCTTTTTGCTTCTGAAGCCACTTCATTAGCAGTGTTAGTTTTGTTTCTTGGAGGGAACAGTGGACACTGTTCATTGTGCTAAAACACGCTATGAAGCTGTTATAAGAAAAGGATTTTCTCCTTAAAAGGCTCTCGAACCAACATGTCCAGTTAGACACTTTTCCTCAGGAACTGATTGTGGGGGAAGATGGAAACTAGGAATCAACAAAATACGTGTCGCCATTCAAGAGTGCAATGTAACAATTAAGGTGTGTGGGTTGACACCGGGAGACTCAGAATCAGGTCCCTCCCCCCCCCCAAGCTGGAAGTTCATTATGCGACTGAACCAGTTTCATTTTATCAGCCCAACCTAGCTCTTGTGGTGGGGGAAAACGGAAGGAAAAAGCACCACATGCACAACTTTCAGCTGAACTAAAATACTAACTAAATACTAACATAAAAAACAAAACAAATGCATGCATCTCCAAAGCAAGAGACTAGCATTTGACAAATACCCCAAATGAAAACTATTTCATAGCTGTGAACTTTTCATTAAATCTAACTAACTTTTTATATAAAGGTTATATATTTTATATTGCTTAGTTCTGTATATGTACAGAACTAAGTAATCTGTCTTCTCTATCGAAGACAGAGAGCCCTTTTTATATATATATTCTTGTGAATGGAATCCTTCTCTTCAGCTGATATATTTATTTATTTGTCCATGAGATTTGACAGAATACAATCCTTTCCAGAAAAGAACCTTTTATTCAATAATGTGGCAAGGTAATAAATTGTAGCTTTTGTGTGGGGAAACAGCCAGAGTTAATTTCTTATTTTGTTCAGCAGTGGTGGGTTGCTATCAGTTCGGTCCAGTTCTTGTGAACTGGTAGTAACGGTGGTGGGAGGCTCCACCCACCCGCCTGGATGTCATCATGGATGATCTGCGCACACGCAGAAGTGTGCGCATGCTCCGGTTGCAAACCGGTAGCGAAGGTAAGTGGAACCCACCCCTGTTTTTTTTTGTTTTTTGTTTTTAATTTGATTTATATGTTCAGACCAGGAAACCAGAACAAAATTATGGTAAGTAGGTAATTTCCCCTCATGTCTTCTGAGCAAAATGGCAGTTCTCCATCTGACTAAGCTAATCTCTTGGCTGAGGTATGTTCAGAGAGGGTCCAACATTGCAGTGGATTTCCAAAATGGCATTCCCTCCATACAAGCACAGATGAGATCAGCTTGCTACGTGGACTTGTCTTTTTTCCTGGAAGAGGGTGAGGGCAAAATTGCTCGTTTATTGATCCAGCTGGCTGTGGATATTAACAGTTGCCCATTTGTGGCTTCATTAGCTTGCTTTGTCCAGGCCTTGTTTTTCAATGCAAGATGTTTTCAATGTAGGGCTGCAGACTCGTAGGAGCCTGGATCTCTGTCATTCTTACTCTTCCAAAAGACTCATTTTCACTCAGGGTTGTCTGCCCTGGAGACATGGTCAAAAAAACCAAGATGGCAGTCTTAATCACACAGTGGTGGCCACATCTTGACTCTTTTGACCACCCTTGGGTGTTCCTGCATAAATCCCAAATGTTAAATCTGAGCTGGACTGATGAGGGAAAAAAGGGGATTCAGTCTTGCTTTGATGGGGATGGGAATTAATAGAAAAAGTGAACCTCCAGGAAGAGAGTTACAGCAATTTGAAAAGGGAATTTCTCTGGGAAATTCATTTTTTGTGAATAAACCTAATAGAGGCACAACACATACAATTTTAATAAAGTGTTTTGTAGAAGGAAGCAGACTTTTACAGAAAATAAAATTAAATGTATAATGCTGAATTATTTTGAATACATCAGGTTCATTCAACTTTTTAAAAAGCAACTGAACTGAATCAGCCTCCTTTTCCATTGTTTCAACATGTTATAATGGGTAGATTGAAATAAGCGCTCCTTGATCTTCTAAAGCTTAGGCTGATTTTAACTGCCTAGGCTTGTTCTTCTCAAAGCTAGATAAATTACAGGTAGCCCTCAGCTTATGAATTATGTAAAGTTTAATTCAGTAATAAATCATGCTGGTTGTTAAGGACATCGCTATGTGACTGCGGCCAATTTTACTGTCTTTTTTGTGACAGTTTTTGGGTGAACACGGCGATCACTTAGCGAAACCGCTTTAGCCAATGGGTGTTTTTTTGCCAGAAATCTGAAGTAAATGCCAGTCTCTGGCAAAACATAAGTTGCAGTCATGTGACTGTAAATAGCTATAAATGCGGACAGGTTGTTAAGAATACAATCATGTGACTTGGGGGGAAAGTTGGAATGAAACTGGGTTCTAAGTACCTTTTGGGAGGGGTCTGTCAGAACTTTGAATGGTTGCTAAGCAACTGGTCGTAAATCAAGAGCTACCCTGTACCCAAAATTGGGTAAAAGCGGGCTTTTTTGGGGTAATAATATTCAAGCCCATTACCCATCACAAGGGGCCATCTTACCCATCTTCAGCCCTTGAATGAAAAATTAATAAATATAAAAGGAATAATTGTAGGTATGGAGTAATAGAGTCATAATACAGTCACTGAAAGGAAGTGGAGTCGGACAGAATATTCTAGGAAGTGTAAAAACTGCAAGCACATATTGCTTAAAATATGTCTGCCTGTAAGCAGACAAGATTTCTAAACAGATGAATGACAAAATGAATCAGCATTTTTATGCAATAGTGAGATAATATTGCATTGCATTGCAGTAACTGTTTCAACCAAGAAACCTTACTCTCACTATATGATTCAATTAATTGTTGGTTTAAGTGCATTGAGGGAGTTAGGTTCTTTGTTTAATCATCATAAAGCTATTTATAATTCTGGGGTAGGTCATGCTGCATAGGTGCTCAGAAGTTCCTTACATTCCCACCCAAATGTTCTTGTTCCCTTCAGTGTTTGGCCAGAGCCAGGATGGGGCCTAGTTAATAAGAGATAAACTATTTGTTTTTGTATTCTTCACCACACTTTATGTTCTTGATTCTCAAGAGGTGCTCAACCATCACTGCAATATAAGTGGAAACTCATCCTGTATATAGCATTCTATGTTTCCATCTGGTTGTATTTCTTGTACCTCAGTTAGCCAGAATTGCAAGGTTCCTGTTCAATCGCTAGTGGGTTGTTTTGGCTCCTTCCCTGTTCTTAGGGTTTTCCCTCTGAAGATCTTTGGGTTCCTCTGAGCTCACTGATAAATCCCTCTTGTTGATGGATGTCTCCAGTTTCCTCACTGATAGTTAAAAATTGCTATTAACATATTATGTTTTCAGTTATGTATTCAATTATGTATTAGTATTGTCCAAATGTGACATTTCTTTGGATAACACAAACGCTGTTAAGCGTTTGGCTTAACAGGAATCTCTCTCAGTAGCTAGAACTTTCACGGGCCTGTCTTAAATCAACCGATATTTTTGCTGACAGCATTTGCCTTGAGAATATTTCTTTAGGATACATGACTATCTGAAATTTTCTACTAACTATTTTCTTTACTTTTCATTATTTACAGAATTTCCAGGCTGTTCTTTGTTACAACTGATTCTGAATAAGGTGAGATGAAAACATAACAAACACAGTATAACCGCCACATAACACAAATCAATAAAATCACCTATATTAAGATCCCAGAATAAAACACAATCAGCGAAATGCAAGTAACAACTTCCAATAAGTGAAAAAACAAGCATTCAGAAACAGGACTGGTTTCTTAATAGACTTTTGAAATGCGAGAGGAAGCATTCTGGTAGCAGTAGTGGGTTTGCTATCGGTAGCGCATGGGTACGTGTGCTCGCTTTGTGAGTGCGCAGAGCTTCTGCGCATGTGCAGATCATTTTTGATGACATCTGGGTGGGTGGGCGGAGCCTCCTGCTGCTGCCACTACCGGTTCGCTTGAACCGGGGAGAACTGGGAGCAACCCACCACTGTCTGGCAGCCATTATAGGAAATGGTATGCACACCTCTCCTGGTAGAAGCTAAGGGCAGTAATATCCTGGGGAATATACTGGAAGTAATGGAGCACTTTGTTTGTGAGTCAAGAATTCAGCTTGGGTCTGCCACTGCCAAGTCACTTATCTCAAAGAGCAGAATTGGGTTTTTTTTATGGAAGTACAGGTTGTCCTCAACTTATGGCCAAAATTGAGGCTAAAATTTCTGTTGCCAAGCAAGACAGGTGTTAAATGAATTTTACCCCATTTTATGACCTTTCTTGCCTTAACAGTTGTTAAGTGAATCACCACAGTTTTTAAATTAGTAACATGGTTGTTTAATGAATCTGACTTCCCCATTGAGTTTGCATGTGAGAAGATCCCAAAAGGGGATCACATGAGCCAGGACACTGTAACTGACATAAATACATGCCAGTTGCCAAGGATCTAAATTCTGATCATGTGAACATGGGGATGCTGCAACAGTCCTTAGTGTGAAAAATGGTCATGTCACTTTTTTTCAATGCCGTTGTATGAAGAAAAAAATTACCTCCTTTTTTCTTTCCACAGAAATGATACTGGGGCTGATTTCGTTCACAAACTTGTTTGCTGTATAGTGGTATAAGCCCTGAAGTAGAAATAAGATTGATATCCACGTAGAGTTCATTGATGGGGTGCCCTGTAGAATAGATGTGAATCTTATCAGGAAGTACACAAGAACAAGGCTTTGCCACTTTGCTTAGTTTTCATGAAAGGAGAGAGAGAGTGATAATGCACGTGTCTGTGTGAAATGTGGTTTGTACAACATGTCTCACCTACTGTGAATCCCCAACTTTAAAGCAAGTGGACATTCCAACTTACATTCAATGACTTAAGAGAAATATCTACATTTCAATTCAATTTTCAATTCAATTCAATTCAATTCAATTTATATGCCGCCCCTCTCCGAAGACTCAGGGCGGCTCACAATACATTTAAAATCCTAATAAAAAACATTTAAAAATTAAAAACATTAAAAACATTAAAACTCATTCATACCATTCATGTCTGGATCTCGCCATGAATGGTATCAAGCAAGAGCAAGATCAACGGCCCAGGCCTGCCTGAAAAGCCAGGTCTTCACCGCTTTTCAGAAGGCCAATAGGCTGGGGATGATCCGGACCTCAGGAGGTAACTGGTTCCAGAGAGCTGGGGCAGCCACAGAGAAGGCCCTCCCCTATGGGCCTGCCAGCCAGCATTGTTTAGCTGATGGGACCCGGAGGAGACCAACTCTGTGGGATCTTACCAGTTGCTGGGAGCTATGCGGTACATTTGGGATGTAGTAGGAGTTTGGTTTTGATCAAACAAGTACAAAATTCATCCTCAATAAGTTTCATGTTTGAGACAAAATTATAGTGTGGTTCAGACTGGCTTAAAAACCTATTTGATTCTTGCAAGACCAGAGTTGAACAAAACTGAAATCTGGTAAGTCAAGGTAGGAGGTATGGCTAGATCTGAAAAAAACCAGTCTCCCTGAAGGAAGCCTTCAGGCAGTCACACTACCAGGAAGACTAATAGCCATTGATGCCCATGACTTCTATGAATATTATTATTATTATTATTATTATTATTATTATTATTATTATTAATTGGCCCAATCTTTTCTTGAAGCCAGCCATGCCTGTAGCTCATACCACATTCAGTGTAGCAAATTCCAAAGCTTAATTGTACATTGTGTAAACATTTTTTCTGTTTTCCAAATCCTAGTCACCTTCCAAAACCTGAGTTAAGCTAACAAATTAGTAAAAATGGACTTTAATTTCAGATTTTAAGAGACTGAGTTGGTTGCAAACAATGTTAAGAGGCAATGTGCAACTGGTGCTCTCTGTACTACTGCATCTTTGTCATCATTATCCACAGACTGAACTCCAAAAATTAGCAAGGCTGGACTGTTTGAGACCTGGCTTTTCCCCCAGGCTTTGGATTAGGATGAATTGCCCCCCTCCCTGTGTTGAATGAAGTTTTTGTACATGTGTGTACGGACCAATTGGATGACATATGTTTATTTTCTGTTTTCTCTTTTGTCAGCTGCACAGAATTGTTTTAGAACCAAAATCTAATGAGAAAACAAATAATTTGTAGCTGATAATTTTAATTCAGGACCCAAAGAATTTTAATTCAGGACCCAAAGTCTCTTAACCATTGAACAACTGCCCATTTGTACTGTGATGCAGCACAACAGAGCAGTGAATTGCTGTACTTACTTTAAAAAGTTGCTAATCGCATGGTAAAAATTTGCCGGGGGCATAGGTGCAACTGTCAATTCTAAAATCAACATCTTGCAGAGGATCTGCAGAGAAAAATAAGATACAAACCAGGAGTGATTGATTTTACAGTAGTCTAGATAAGATTTATAATAGCATAGATGATAAAACACCAGAAAGATATTTCTTAAACTTGCTTTCAATTCAATCATGTTCACAGTTCGTGTGGACGTGATCTCTGTGGATCACTCGGCTTTGGGAGATTCAACAGGGAAGGAAATTCAAAGCCTGTGGCCCTTGTCCTCTTGACATCATAACTCGGTTAAGCAACCGAGCTTCCTGAGTAGAAGCAAATGTGGAGGACCAGACTTTTCATTGCAGCTTGCCCTGAAATGCCACTTCTGCAATGCCAGTGTTGAAATTTAAACAGGAAGCACCTTGCCTCTTCAGGATGTGGACCACCAAAGAAGCCCGCCAACTTTCCAAGTTCTTCCTCAATTTCTTTTTGGCAGACCCTCCAGGATAGTTGGCCTTCTCAGATCTCCCTTTAAATATCAGCCCCATAAATCAATCTCAGAAATTTCTCTGGCTTCCTTATACAGAATAATTTTATACTTGTATGTTTTGTAGTTTTTCTTTTCTGTTATTCTGTGGAGATACAGATCAGAGGTAGTATTCAGCAGGTTCTGACCAGTTCTGGAGAACCGGTAATGGAAATTTTGAGTAGTTCGGAGAACCGGTAAATACCACCTCTGAGTGGCCCCTCCCCATCTATTCTTTGCCTCCCGAGTCCCAACTGATCGGGAGGAAAAGGGGATTTTGCAGTAACCTTCCCCTGGAGTGGGGAGGGAATGGAGATTTTACAGTATCCTTCCCCTGCCACGCCCACCAAGCCATGCCCACAGAACTGGTAATATAAAATTTTGAATCCCACCACTGATGTAGATGCTATGTTTAATTTTAGCAGATTTGTCCACAGAACAGTGACAAACTGTTCTGTGGCATTCCCCTTTGCACGTGGACAGTGTAGGTAATTTTGCAGCACCAGCAGCCTTCTTTTTTTCCCTTTTCTATTCTATTCAACACTAGTCTAGTCTAGTCTAGTTAGTGGTTCTCAACTTTTTGGGCACCAGGGACCGTTTCCATGGAGAGAGGTTTTTCCGCAGACTAGAGGGAGTGTGGTTTTGCGTGCTGCCTGCATCCCATGGATGGGGCTGTGCTTGTTTGTGTCGCATGGTTTCGGTCATACTGTGGCCCAGTGCCAGTTGGGGACCCCTGTTATAGACATACCAAATGTTTTCCCCCTGCTTCCTCTTCTATTTCGTGTTGAGGAACGAAGCATATTGAATCTGGTAGTTGTGTCTGAGTTGGTACAACATTTATAAAGTGCTTGTTTGCACTGAGATCACCTTTATTTCAGTGTGGACTTCTTCAGTAAAAATTAAGAGGTAGCTGCCAACAAGCGTAATCATGCGGCCCATTTTAAGGATTTCCCTGTTTTAGAATTGGTACACTGAGTCCCCATTGCAATCTGACTGTAACAAAAGGAGGAACAAGAAGGGGACAAGAAGTTCACTCATGATGGTCACAATTGCCCCAGGCAATTGTTGCTCGCTTATGTGACTGTTGTTGTAATTAAACAGACTTGTCTATGAGCTAGTGTACCAAATGCAAAAATCTTTTTTCATTTTTAGTGACATTTTAATCAGCAAGGATAATGTGTTACAAGTATTACAAAAAAAGAAAACAATCCCAACAGATGCTCCTCATAAAGACAAATTGGGCTCATAGAATAGAATAGAACAACAAAGTTGGAAGGGACCCTGGAGGTCTTCTAGTCCAACCCCCTGCCCAGGCAGGAAACCCTACACCACTTCAGACAAATGGTTATCCAACATCTTCTTAAAAATTCCCAGTGTTAGAACATTCACAACTTCTGCAGGCAAGTTGTTCCACTTATTAATTGTTCTAACTGTCAGGAAATTTCTCCTTAGTTCTAAATTGTTTCTCTCCTTGGTTAGTTTCCACCCATTGCTTCTTGTCCTACCCTCAAGTGCTTTGACTTTCTAAATGGAAAGGAGAAGGCACATACAATTTTGTCTTTTGCCTCAAGGATCAAGTGGTGTGGGCAGGGTATCCATGGGTAGAGAGGCCCAGGGGTGACCTTGGAGAACCTATGCAGAGATGGTTAGAAGAATATGTACAAAAACATGCTTAAGTCTGGGAAACAAAACATTAGGAAGAAACTCAGTCTGTTTCTGCCCAAATTCTTTGGGATATAAGGAAAAACACAGTTTAGGCTTTCAAGATTCTGTTCCTAGAATGTCTATCTATAAATATAATTCTAATTAAAGGAGTGGACTTGGTTTCCTGGTCAAGACTACCTCAAAGTATTGACATCATGAAAGGATGAAAAAAAAATATCTAGATGGTGGCCGTAACTTTTTAATTGAAGCCCTGGCTTCTTTTATGTTCATTGCATGCACCGCACATAAAAAAGAACAAGGCTTTGACTGAGTGGCTCTGGCTGCCATCTTTATTTTTTTTAAAAATCTCCTTTTCTCCCTCAAAGAACCTTTGGAAAACAGAATTCAACTGAGAAATCATGCTTGGATTACAGTTCTATAAGATGAACTGTGAAATGTGGCTTTAAAATTTTTGCTTACCTTTGATTTGCAAAATAAAAACATAATTAATTCTTAGGTTAGATATAATTTTTTTGGGTAATTTCTCATTGTGATTTATAATTCATATTAGACTGTCTGCTGTTGTTAATTGTTATATAACTTGTAATAATGTTCTGAATTTATAAACGGATATCAGTTATTTTAATATACAGTGGGGTTTTTATTTAATCTTGTAATGTTTATAAGTCTCATTTTTCTTTGTTTTTCTTCTTGGTTTTTAAAGATCTTTTTAAAGATCTTCTAAAATTAAAAGAATAATCATGAAAAAAGAGATTTGTAGCCTTATAATCATATTTAGGGAAACCTTGCTTATGTACATATGATGGCAAGATATTAGTAAATTGAATTCCCTTCTCTGACTCTGCTAAATTACTCTCTATCGGCATGTCCCACCTTTTGGCTTGGGATGCATTGAGTAAAGAGGAATTGTCTGGGCCACATATACCCATGATGGTGAACCTAAGGCAGGCGTGCCACTGCTGGCACGCAGAGCCATATCGGTGGGCACGTGAGTGTTGCCCTAGCTCAGCTCCAGTGGGACCGGAAGTCGGGAAACGGAGGGCCTCTTTGGGGGTGGGGAAGCCATTTTTGCCCTCTCCAGGCTCCTAGAAAGGCTCTGGAGCCTGAGGAGGGTGAAAATCGGGCTTACCAGGTCCACCATGCAATTGTGTGCCAAAAGCTAGGGGAGTGCGGGGGGTCACACGTGCATGCATTGGGGGGGTGGGGCGCATTGAATTATGGGTGTGGACATGTGCACACATGACCCCCCCTGTTCCCTCCCGCTTTTGACACGCGACGGCAAAAAGGTTAGCCATCACTGACATATACAATATATAATATAATTAATGTATATTTACATATAAATAATATTAAAACTTTATAATCTTGTGGGGGCCATATAAACAGGTGTTCAGGGCCTCATTGGGCTATGGACCACTGGTTGGACACATTTTTCTATACTGTCACAAGAGCAAGACTTTGGAGACAATATCTCCACTTAGTGATGTGAGTCGGAGTGTTCTTGCTTATACCCTTCATAGTGCATCTAAAGGGTCCCTACCACAGCAAAACCACTAAGCCCTAATTGTTTATAGAGCAGTGGCTCCCAGCCTTTAGGGTACCAGGGACCAGTTCTGTGGAGAGAGGTTTTTCCGCAGACCAGAGGGGGTGTGGTTTCGCGTACGGCCTGCATCCCATGGATGGGGCTTCGCTTGTTTGTGCGGCACGGTTTCGGTCATACCGTGGCCCAGTGCCAGTTGGGGATCCCTGTTATAGACATACCAAATGCTTTCCCCCTTCCTCCTCTTCTATTTCCTGCTGAGGAACGAAGCATATTGAACCGGGTAGCTGTGCTACTTCAGGCATTGGGCTGGATAAACTGTTTTTTTAAGCAGTGGCTCTGTGTCTGAGTTGGTACAACATTTATAAAGTGCTTGTTTGCACTGAGATCACCTTCATTTCAGTGTGGACTTCTTCAGTAAAAATTAAGAGGTAACTGCCAACAAGCGTAATCATGCGGCCCAGTTCAAGGATTTCCCTGTTTTAGAATTTGGTACACTGAGTCCCCATTGCAATCTGACTGTAACAAAAGGAGGAACAAGAAGGGGATAAGAAGTTCACTCATGATGGTCATCCTTTATTTAGCCACAATTGCCCCAAGCAATTGTGGGTCGATCATGTGACTGTTGCTGTAATTAAACAGACTTGTCTATGAGCTAGTATACCAAATTCAAAAATCTTTTTTCATTTTTAGAGACATTTTAATCAATAAGGATAACATGTGTTACAAGTATTGCAAAAAAAAAAAAGGAAAACAATCCCAACAGATGCTCCTCATAAAGACAAATTGGGCTCATGCTTGTTTCCCCCCCCCCTTAATTTCATTTATTCAGTTTCTATTCTCCTTGTTTGGAGAATAGGGGGAACCGGGCCAAACCGGGAGGAATCCACCACTGGTGATACTTCATGTTAAATGACAGAGTTTAATCTAAACCCTGGCCTCTGAAAAATACAAATCTGAAATTTACCAGCTCCCTTGGTCAGTGTCACCGTAGTTAATGAGCCTGGATTCTATGACCCTTTGCATATATCCATTGTGGTTTGGTTTGGTTTGGTTCGATTTGTTTGGGTTTTTTAAATACGTGTTTGTGACCTGCCCTGCCAAAAGAAAGATGAATCTGAATTGAAGATGGGCCTCCCCCGATATAAGAGCAGGGAGAAGCAGGGAGATTTGTAACCATCTGTAGTGGCTGCTGTCCATAACTGTTTTGATTGCAGCAACTGTGCCATTTGGGAATTTGAGGGTTTGTAATTCTAATACATTGGGAGGTTAGGGAGACGTAGCTTCTAGCTGTTTTTTTTTAAAAAACATATTTTTTTTAAACAAGTTCTCTTGACTATCACTATCTGACAAATGGACCTGTTTCTGTTCTGACCACCCTTTGGTGAATAAACTGAAGTGGTATAATTGTAGGTTTTTAATTAAGAAAACCCCAAACACTTTTTATTATGATTTTAAATAAAGTGGCTTTCTATATTTTATTTTTATTACTGCTAGTCACCTTGGCTACCGCTCTCTAGTTGAACAATCAAGTATAAACTCAGTATATCAATAGTGACTCATTTAGATAATTTACAGTCATTTTGATAATGCCCATTGATTAAAAGAAAAAATGACATTACCAAATAAATTGAAGGCTACTTTAAAGTCAGTTTGTGCATTTTATGTATTCAGTACCCAATCTGTAGAGTTTAAAAAATATTTTAAAAAACTTAGCCCATTGCAATATGCTTACATACAAGAAACACTGAGTCCCAAAGTTAAACTTATTATATTGGGTAAATCTCCAGCTTTCTGAAGACAGGCTCTGGCTAGTAACCCTTTACAAAAGCATGTACATCTTGAGCTTAACTTGTTTACTGAGAAATAATCCCATGAATTTCAGTGAGACTTGTTTCCAAGTTGGTGAACGTAAGATTGCATTCACTTGAATTAGATGACATTTCAGCTAAACACAAAATAGTTGATATATAGAAGCCTGATTTCCAGTTCTTTTCTTTATTTGGGGCATGTGAAAGAAGAATGAGATGTCTGTGAAGCTCATTCTCTTCATCCCCTCTGCATCAGGGCAGCAGCTGAGGCACAGAGCCAGTCAAGATGGAAAGCTTTGGAAAGAAGCACTGCCAAGCAGATTCATTTTCATTCATTTCAGAGGTGCCTGCTCCTTTTCTCTGCCAGCAGATTAGAAAAACCAACTGTCTATGGGAAGTGCTGCCAATCTAAGAAGCTCACTGCATGGGGGAAGCCTGGCGACTCGCCTTTGACGACATGGTCCCTTCCTGAGTTACACATTAAAGCTGATTCAGGCTGACTGAAAAGGGAAATATCAGATTTGCATGACTTGAGGAAACGTCCCCACTGCCTTGTTTATTACTCAGGTAGGGGCAGAAGAAGATGGCGGAGGAGACGGAAAAATCATGATTCTCATCATTCCAAGTGGGGGTGGGAGTGATGGTTGGTGTAAGATGAATCTGAGTATTTGGGGTGGGTGTTGGTTCGCGTAAGATGAATCTGCATTAAAGCTCCATTCACCAGATCAGAGTTTTGTCTTCTCTATTAAAAATGCTTCTGAAATGTTAGACTGGAGAATATATGAATATATTCTGAAATGTTAGACTGGGAGAATATACGATAAGGTTAAAATGAGCAGGTTTGTCACACATTATTTATTCTCTGTTACCATTATACAAAGTAGCAATAGCACTTAGACTGCTTCACAGTGCTTTACAGCCCACTCTAAGCGGTTTTACGGAGTCAGCATATTGCCCCCAACAATCTGGGTCCTCATAATCATGTCGTATTCATATTTTCTTAGTCCCGTGGAAATGAAATCTGCCGAAAGAGAATTGCCCCTAATCAGTCTTCATCCAGAACTGAAGTATCAAATACGTCCAGCAAACAGTCTATTGCGCAACCTACTGCACTAGGTGCTAGTACAAAACAAGGTCATTGTAAAAAGTTAAACAGAAGTATGAGCTCTCACCACAGCTTCTGTAGTTCACTTCCAAATTTTTGTTCTTGCAGAGTATGTGTATAGGCCGTAGGTTGATGCTGATGGTGGTATAAATCAGTGAAAGGAGGACAGGAAGAACCTGGAGTGCTTTCATGATCTCTGTGGAGGAGAGTCTGTGTAATAATGGTGCCTTTCTTGTCATCAGGGTTGATAGTTAGCCTGCCCACTTCCTCTTTCTAATATAAATGCAGATAAGCCAGGTTAGTTATTTTCTGTACTCAGTTTCATACTGGTTTCTGCTAATAATGAAGAATCCATAATAGGCTCCTCACCAACATGTCAAGTCCATGTTTAGATAGAAGAAAAACTCTTTTTCAAGGTTTTAATGTATTCATGCTTATTTATTTTTTTAATTTTTTTTATTTTAAAACAAAAACAAAACATAAAACCATCATCATTCTGAACAATTACAGACAGTGTATCTATCGGTTAACATCCTTTTGTGCTCAATCCCATCTTCAAAATATCAATATATGACCAAAGCTTATTTTTCATAGAAAAGAACTTTACATATTTAATATTTACTTCGACTTCATATTTCATATTTCATCTCCATGTTTTATTATCTATCCATTGATAAAACAAATCCCATATGAAATAATATTGTTTGTCCTCCTGTTCTCTTATTTCAAATGTCAATTTACTCATTTCAGCACAGTCCATCATTTTCTTAATAACTTCTTCATCAGTAGGTATCTTCTCTCCTTTCCAATTTTTAGCAAATACAATTCTAGCCGCTGTTAAAACATTCACAATTAAATATTGCAATTCTCTGTTGTATGTCTCTGGTAAGATCCCTAATAAAAATATCTCTGGTTTAAAGTCAATATGTCTCTTTATCATTTTTTCCAACCACGTAGTCCAATATCTCTTAGCTTCTACACATGTCCACCACATATGATAATATGATCCTGGAGTCTGATGACACTTCCAACATTTCTCCGATTTATTCTTGAACATTCTGGCAACCCTCATTGGGGGTAAATGCCACCTGTAAAACATCTTATACAAATTCTCCTTATATGCTGTAGACATTGTCATTTTATAATTATGCAACCACAATTTTTGCCATTTCGCTAAATCAATACCATGACCAAAATTTTCCCCCCATGCTATCATTGATTCTTTAACTTGTTCTTCTTCCAATTTTACCTCTAATAAATATCCACATAATTTTTTAATTACATGATCATCAGAACCCATTAGAATCTTATCTAAATTAGTTAAAACGTTATAAAAACCTTCTTGTTTAAGATCATCTTCATATCTAGAACGTATTTGCATGTATGAAAACCAATCCATCTTACATCCCTGATCTTCTAGTTCTTGCTTAGATTTGAGTTCACCCTTTTCATCCAATAGTTCACTATATCTAACAATTTGTTTCCTTTTAAATACTACTGAATATGAAAAAGCTTCAATTGTAGATACCCAGACTGGAATCTTCAAATAATAATGTTTTTTAACCTTCTCCCAATTCAACAATAAGGCTTCTCGTATCTGGTGTCTTCTAAAGTACCCCTGTATTTTTGTTCCTTTATATCATAAAAAAGCATGTCACCCCATCAACAAATCATGTCCTTCTAAATTCAATAATCTAGTATTTCTCTAAATTATCCATTACTTAATCCACATCAAACTTGTTGCTTGATAGTAAAGTTCCAAGTTAGGTAAACCAAAACCACCCCTCATTTTAGCATCTTGTGTCAACTTTAATTTTATCCTCGCCTTCTTTCCCTGCCAAATATATTTCAAGTCCAGAATAGATAGAAGAAAAACTCTTTTTTATGCTTTTAATGTATTCATGTTTATTTTGATCCTTAAGAAAAAAAATCAAATCAAGACTTTCCAGTGAAATGGTTTATGTCCTATCTACCTTTCAATAATCATGGAAGATTCTTATCAGAGAAAAGTCTCTATATAGCTTTTCTTGCGGGATATTATAAAGAATGGAATATGACCAAGCAAAAAAAAAAAAAAAAAAAAAGACAGAAGAAAAGACTTTTGGACACAGGATGGCAGCAGACATTAGTATGGCATCATATACTAATAATGAATGCTTGCCTTCATTTCCATGGACCAATGGACCTTTTTTTTTAAAAAAAAAAAAAGTAATTTTATTAAAAGTTACAATAATAAAACATTAAAATTTATACAAGCTAAAATAACAAGAGGATTAAGCAATGCAGTCATAAAGTGGGACACCACATGCTTAGTGAGGGAAACCCGGGCAGGCCTGATTGTTCTTGTAACTACAGACAGGTAAAAGTCATTATGTGGGAAGCAGAAGGAATCCCAAATAAAGCGCATGGGGGCATCACAAGGAGATCCTGGAGGCCTTTGGAACAACTATGACTTGGACGATTGAGAGTCTCCATAGATGGTTTATAGGTGGATTCCCCCCCCCCCCACATACTGTAGGAATTCCCCAAATATTTTGGGGAATATTAAAAGAGGCAGAATATTATATTTCCCCAAAGGAGGAAACATCTTAATAAAGGCAGAAAGCAGCCCCAATAGCCTCCAGCACATGCCCAAAGTCTTTAGAGGTGGATATTTTGTGCCCATTAAGAAATCCAGGTCAGCCTATTCACAAGCAAAACACCTTCAGCTCCAGTTGCTGGGATTAAAATCTACATCCTCCACCCAAATTCTAAGAACACGACATGACCTTTAGGATATATTAGGATTAACCCACCACCATTAGAATAGCAAAAGACACCAGGCTTACTACATTGCGCAACCCCCTAGCAGCATCTCACAACCCTATAAAAATACATGTACTCATCAAACAAATTTGTCAACTGTCCCAGCACCACATGCTGTTGTTGGTTCTGTTCATCAATAAACAGAGTCCTTCTTTCCAATCAGCCTCCATTTTATTTCCAGCCTCTTTCTCCCGACTTGGAACTGGACTGGATTTTTCTTCCAACAATACCAAAGGGTTGTGTGTAAATGAAGTATTTCTTTTCTGCAACTTCTTACCCTACCATGACCCAGGATGATGAAAACTACTGTGGAGGCAACCATAGCGGTTTTTAGACAGGTTCTGCTTCCTCGGGGCTTCTCTGGGCTATTGTCTCAGTCCTGGGAATGAAGAGTGTGAAACCATTCCTTGAAAGAAAATCTGAGGATTTACTTCCTGAGAGGAGAGGGCTGGGCTGGGGAATGAATTTAGCCCTAACCTTGTTGGGAGCTTAGCTAAAACACTCTGGATCATTAAAAATGATCATTTATGCTGTTGGAAGAAATATCCTTCTGGGTTCAGTTCCAAGTGGGGAGAAAGACACTGGAAACATGGTGGCTGATTGAAAAGATGGTTCTTAATGGTGGACAGGACCACATGGTTTTGAGGTCCTGGGCAAAAAGGGAAGAGATGCTGAGAATCCCTGGGTTTTATACCCTCTCTGTCTTTGAACTTCCTGGGGCATAGGAAGAGTATCCTGATTGGCTGCTGTCAAAAGTCATTGCTAGCTTTTTAGGTTGTCTCTGTGTTGAGTTTGTTTGAGTCTTGCTGAGAGATGAAAGGGCTTTGGGCAGTGGTGGGATTCAAGTAATTTAACAACCGGTTCTCTGCCCTAATGATTTCTTCCAACGACCAGTTTACCAAACTGCTCAGAATGTTAATAACCGGTTCTCCCGAAGTGGTGCGAATTGGCTGAATTCCACCACTGGCTTTGGGCAATTCCTATTATGGCTCTGCCATAATTGTTATATTGAATAGACTGGCCCATTGACAAAGGTGGGGTGGGGGCTGAGTTTCTGCCTCCCTTTTAGGGGAGATATACACCCCTATCCCATTCCCCGATTAAACGGTGTGGTTTGGAAGTAGGACAGAAGTAAGACAGAATCCTATCTGTTACATCTACAGTATTCATTTTTGGTTGACAGTTTCAGAGCCAGAATTGATAAAAATTTCATTTGAAATGCAGGGGTATTTATTTTTAATGCATCTGTTAGCAAAAAAAAAAAAAGGTTGATTGAGATATCAGAGTTAAAGGCAAATGTAAGACTTTTCCAGAGGGACCAGAGGGGGTGTGGTTTCGTGTGCTGCCTGCATCCCATGGATGGAGCTTCTCTTGTTTGTGCGGTACGGTTTCGGTCATACCATGGCCCAGTGCCGGTTGGGGACCCCTGTTATAGATATACCAAATGCTTTCCCCCTTCTTCCTCTTCTATTTCCTATTGAGGAACGAAGCATATTGAACCGGGTAGCTGTGCCACTTCAGGCATTGGGCTGGATAAACTGTTTTTTTTAGCAGTGGCTCTGTGTCTGAGTTGGTACAACATTTATAAAGTGCTTGTTTGTACTGAGATCACCTTCATTTCAGTGTGGACTTCTTCAGTAAAAATTAAGAGGTAGCTGCCACCAAGTGTAATCATGCGGCCCAGTTCAAGGATTTCCCTGTTTTAGAATTGGTATGCTGAGTCCCCTTGCAATGTGACTGTAACAAAAGAAAGAACAAGAAGGGGACAAGAAGTTCACTCATGATGGTCATCCTTTATTTAGCCACGATTGCCCCAGGCAATAATGGCTCGATCATGTGACTGTTGCTGTAATTAAACAGACTTATCTATAGCTAGTGTACCAAATCCAAAAATCTTTTTTCATTTTTAGAGACATTTTAATCTGTAAGGATAACGTGTTACAAGTATTACAAAAAAAAGAAAACAATCCCAACAGATGCTCCTCATAAAGACAAATTGGGCTCGTGCTTGTTCTCCCCCCCTTAATTTCATTTATTCAGTTTCTATTCTGCTCATTCATTCATTCATTCATTCATTCATTCAATTCAGAGTCATTCATTGCAATAGGCACCCCATCTCAGGGAATGACTCTGGGTGGCTTACAATTTCAAAACTATACAAACAATTAAAACAATAAAAATAATTTAAAAACAATAAAAAATAGGTGGTTTTGCAGCTGGATCTGAATGATAGCTATGCAGAGGCCTTTCCTCTTGATTTGCCATTTCCCCCACACAAAAGTCTGCGGTGAGGTTTTGTGCTTACTTTAGGTAGTATCCTTCAGTTGCCTGTATGAACACTACACTTTTGTGTTTGGTTTCAAAAGAAAAAGGTCCATCATCTACAATCTTGGTCCACCTAAGATAGCCAAGTATGCTCATACTGACAGATCTTTAAGTAACAATCTAAAGATCTTCTCCAAATAGGATCCACAGCAGTTGTGGGTTT